GGTGTGCTGGTCTCGTCGCAGAGACGGGGCCGCCTCAAGACTCATGATGGGGAAGGGTGCGTCGTTGGATTTTTCATGAGGGGAAGAACACACAGACACAAGTAATTGCCGACTCCACGGAGAATATGGGAAAATACTGGAAGTGGGGGGGGGAAACGGAAACCCAGAAAATATGAGAAAACATGGGGAATCTTGGGATTGGTGTTTGTTGATTTGTAGGTCCCTGGGCCCATTGAATTTTCCAGGTTCGCTGTGCCATTGGATGGCCCGAACCTTCGCCCCCGCCACGTGGGTAACTCGATGATTGGGGGTGTCTGGCCGTGGCTCCTGTTCACTGTGAGACATAGACATGGGAACGGCATTGGACGAGTTTGAGCATGGAGACTGGAGACCCTGAGATCCTGGCGTCCCAATTTTTTGAGCCGGGCGCTATCGCCCAGCTTCGGGCCCCGGGACCCTCACAGATCGATCCGGCTCGAAGAATGGCGCAGAAAGGTGGGGTCCAGGCCTCCAAGCGTGATTTTTCATGGTGTCTCAATTTTTCTGAGACGTCGGATCTCAGGGGATGGAGACATGCAGTGCGACAGTGGGTGGAGCATGATGCGAGGCGGGAGACATGACAAGAAGAGAGGGTGAGCAGTTAGACACATCTGTTTGACACGACCGCTGCTGGCAGAACACTTATGCCCGACATAGCCGCTTTTGGTCCGCGGCGGTGGGATCGATCGCACCGCAGTCGAAGCGGCTACCAGGCCACGGAAGCAAACGCTGCTTGCGCACAAGTTCGGGCGCGGGAGGAGGGAGAGACACGGCCGCGGAGAGGGGAGCGAAAGAGGGCACACTCAGAACACGTAGTCCTTCGTTTGCAGCGCTGCGGCCTCACCACACACGCATGGAGACAGTTTTTGTTCCCGACCATCCTGTGGTGCTGGGCCCTCGTTTTGAAGAGACAGCGCCCCGCGTTCTCACTCCTCCTCATCATGATGATGCTGCTGATGATGATGATCATCATCATCATCAGCATCATCATCAGCATCATCATCATCGTATCCATCATCATCATCATCACCACCATCATCACTTCATCACCATCATCATAGTCAGCATCAGCATCATCATCGTCATTTCCACCATCATCATCACCATCATCATCAGCACCATCATAATAGTCATCATCATCACCACCATCACCACCATCATCATCATTATCATCATCGTCATCATCACCATCATCACCAACATCATCATCATCATCATCATCATCATCATCATCATCATCATCATCATCATCATCATCAACATCATCGTCATCAATCTCGTCCACATGCGTCCCTCCCACCCACTTCGGCACACCCCTCACACTTTTCGTGGCCCCATAGGGAGCTCCACCGAAGGCCCCAGTGCCACCGTCCACATGCGTCCCCCACGCCCATTTCGGCGCACTCCTCACACGTTTTGTGGCCCCAAAGGGAGCTCCACCGAAGGCCCCAGTGCCACCGTCCACACGCGTCCCCCACACCCACGTCAGCACACTCCTCACACGTTTCGTGGCTCCATAGGGAGCTCCACCGAAGGACCCAGTGCCACCGTCCACATGCGTCCCCCGCACCCATTTCGGCACACCCCTCACACGTTTCGTGGCCCCATAGGGAGCTCCACCGAAGGTCCCAGTGCCACCGTCCACATGCGTCCCCCAACGACCACTTCGGCGCACCCTCACACGTTTCGTGGCCCCATAGAGAGCTCCACCGAAGGCCCCAGTGCCACCGTCCACACGCGTCCCCCACACCCATGTGAGCACACTCCTCACACGTTTCGTGGCCCCATAGAGAGCTCTACCGAAGGACCCAGTGCCACCGTCTGAACGCGTCCCCCACACCCATGTCGGCGCACCCCTCACACGTTTCGTGGCCCCATGGGGTCCACCGAAGGCCTAAGTGCCACCGTCCGCATGCGTCCCCCGCACCCATTTCGGCACACCCCTCACACGTTTCGTGGCCCCATAGGGAGCTCCACCGAAGGCCCCAGTGCCACAGTCCACATGCGTCCCCCACACACATTTCGGCGCACCCCTCACACGTTTCGTGGCCCCATAAAGGGGGCTCCACCGAAGGCCCCAGTGCCACCGTCCACGTGCGCCTGTCGCATCCATTTCGGCACGCCCATCACAGGGTTCGTGGCCCCATAGGGAGCGCCACCGAAGAAGATATTCACAACTGCGGTACTCCAGATGTCGTAATAAAAGGGAGGGGGTCTGGACCCTCCAAGACAAGCCATTTCAGACCCCCCCTCGTGGAAGAACCCTCCAAAACATCGTCCCAAGACCCCCCAGGCCCTCCAAGATAGCCTGGAAGAGACCCCCCCCGAAATGAGACCCCCTCCCTTTTATTACGAAATCTGGAGTACTCACAGCTGCACATGGTTGGGCTCTTCGCCCTTGGCGATAGCAGGCGTGGCCGGGAGAGGCGCATGAGGAGGGGGGGCCGCTCACGTCACGGCTCGCGCGCTAGCGCCGCCCGGGAATGCCTCAGAATGGCTCGTTCCCAGGCGGCCCCCGCGCGAATCGTGACGTGAGCAGGGGGTGGGGTAGGGGGCTGGCGGGGCCAATCACGGGCATATCAAAATGAGTGCAACATAAGTCAACACAAGTGCTCATATCTGGTCTAGGACTGAGTATGCCCAACTATTCGGGCACCCCGGGTCCAGTTCGCCACCAGCGTTTCGGCGTGTGGTTGGCCATCCTCTTCAGGACCTGCCACAACCAACCACACGGGGCAGGCCGACGCTGACACGAACGACTTGTTGGCCTTCAAAGAAGGGAGGAAACAACTGGGCTGGCGGGGCCAGTCACGGGCGTTCTCGCGAGTAATCGCAGAACTGGGCTCATGGTGAGTCATATGCGCAGCGTGCGGCAAGACAGTTTGCAGGAACAGGAGAGGAAGCAGTTGAGGAGAAGTTCTGCCATTCAGGCGCCGCGGGCCGCGCCGTAATCACGGCACGTCGCTGGGGCGCGTGACGAAAGACGGCCAAATCAGACCAGCATTGCATCGAAAATGGCACAATGTCGCCTCCTCTCCAATGCTCCCCTCCCTGGCCCTCCCTCCTCGTGTTCCTCCTCCCCCATGCTGATCACGGTCTTCTCATCTTGCAGCCTTGACTTTTGCGAGCCAGGCGGTGTTGTCTTCGGCGACAGAGCCGGTGATCAACCGTGTTTTGATAAAGCGGATGACGGTGTCTGAGGCTGTTCCTTTTGTTGTGCCCGCAGTTTTGACCAATGCGTTAGTAATGGAGTCAGGGGCAACCGAGAGGGATGGCGAGGAGGCAGAACATGCTCAGGAGAGGAAAGGATGTGGAGGAGGAGGGTGGGGATGGGGGGGGCACTTGGGATGACGGGCGTGACCATGAGGAGGAGGAGGAGGCGGAGGAGGAGGATGAGGAGGAGGAGTTGGAGAATGAGGAGGAGGAGAAGGAGGAGGAGGAGGAGGAGGGGGAGGAGGACGACCCGAGTAAGCCCAGGATGCTTCGACGATGCTGCAATCCACCCGCCCGTCCCAGGTTCCCTCCTCACAGGTCCCTATAAGTGCCCAACCATCCTGTGATGTTGGGTCCTCGTTTTGAAGAGACATCGCCCCGCGTTCACTCCTCCTCCTCCTCCTCCTCCTCCTCCTCCCGCTGCCCCCTCCCTCCCTCCATCATCATCGTCATCACCCGTTTCAGCATACCCCTCACACGTTTCGTGGCCCCATACGGGGCTCCACCGAAGGTCCCAGTGTTACCGCCCGCATGCGTCCCCCCACCAAGTACAGCGTTTCGTGGCCCATAGGGAGCTCCACCGAAGGTCCCAGTGCTACCGCCCGCATGCGTCCCCCCCACCCAGTACAGCGCTTCGTGGCCCCATAGGAAGCTCCACTGACTGCCCCAGTGCTACCGCTCGCATGCGCACCCCCCACCCAGCACAGCGCTTCGTGGCCCCATAGGGAGCTCCACCGAAGGCCCCGACGTGTCATGGCCCCATGGGGAGCTACACCAGAGGCCCTAGTGCTACCGCCCGCATGCGTCCCCCCCACCCAGCACATCGCTTCGTGGCCTCATAGGGAGCTTCACCGAAGGTCCCAGTGCTACCGCCCGCATGCGTTCCTCGCACCCAGTACAGCGTTTCGTGGCCCCATGGGGAGCTCCACCGACGGCTCCAGTGCTACTGCCCGCATGCTGTCCCCCCACTCAGTACAGCTTTTCGTGGGCCCATAGAGGGAGCTCCACCGAAGGCTCCAGCGTTTCACGGCCCCATAGTGAGCTCCACTGGAGGCCCCAGTGCTACCGCCCGCAGGCGTCCTCCCCACCCAGTACAGCGTTTCGTGGCCGCGTAGGGAGCTCCATCGAAGGCTCCAGTGCTACTGCCCGCATGCGTCCCCCCACCCAGTACAGCGTTTCGTGGCCCCATAGGGAGCTCCACCGAAGGCCTCAGTGGATGCACTCGTATGCGGTTCCCCCGCCCAGTGCAGCGCGTCGTGGCCCCATAGGGAGCTCCACCGAAGGCCCCAGTGGCGGTGTTCGCATGCGTTCCCCCCGCCCAGCGCAGCGCTTCGTGGCTTCATGGGGAGCTGCACGGAGGGCTCCGGTGGCTGTACTCGCATGCGTTCCCCCTATCCATTACATTGTTTCGTTGCCCCATAGGGAGCTCCACCGAATGCCCCAGAGGCGGCCCCGCCCCACTGCGGCGCACCCCTCACACTTTTCGCGGCCCCGTAGTGCGTTCCGCCTAGAAGAACCAGTGGCAGCGCCCACATGGCGGCCCCGCCCCACATCGGCACACCCTTCGCATGCTTCATGGCGCCACGAGGGGATCCCCCGAAGGCGATGCCCGCAACGGCGGTACTCACAACTGCATGAGGTTGGGCCCTTCGCCAGGATATTTTCTTGTTCCGCTGCTGGAAGCGCCCACCCCCTCCCTTCAACGACGAGCGCCGGGTGGGCCCGCTTCTCGGGCGAGGCCCCAGTTTGTGGAGGATCTCCACCCTCTCCTCCTCCTCCTCCTCCTCCTCCTCCTCCTCCTCCTCCTCCTCCTCCTCCTCCTCCTCCTCCTCCTCCTCCTCCTAAGGCAAGCCAGTGAGGTATGATGATGCACGCAGAGGGAGTTTTGGGGAACAAGAAGTGCCATAAACATAACAACTCAGAGGTCCGCGCGGATTTCTCGGATCGGCGCTGGACCCCCCTCCCTGGCGCGCGGAGCGCGCCAGGGGCGGCGCCGGAGGCGCTGCCGGGGGACCCCAGCGCCGATCCGAGAAATCCGCGCGGACCTCCGAGTTTTTTTCCCAAACAGCTTGCTGAACGGGGTGCTGTTGTGGTATAACTCCGGCCGAGGAAGTCGAAGCAGAGACATCCTCACACAAATTTTATGGTTTTGGCCGTTTCGCTTGAGACATCCTCAAAACTCTCGTTTCTGAGTTGGCCGGGATTGGCCGTTTCGCCTGAGACACCTCGAAAAGTTGCGCTCCGGGACGCCGCGCGAGAGGTGGTCCGGGCCGTTTCGCTTGAGACATCCTCGAAACTCTGAGCCCCGAGGTGCCGTGCGAGAGGTGGTCCGGGACGTTTCGCATGAGCCCATCCCCTTTTTTCTTTTTTTCCTTTTTTTTTTTTTTTTTTTTTTTTTTTTTTTTTAAAACCTCTGAATGCGTGGCGATTGGCCTTTGCGCGAGTGGCCGAACGGTGGTTTTCGCCTGAGACATCCTCGAAAACTCTGCTTTCGGAGGTGCCGGCGCAAGGAGGTGGTCGGCCCGTTTCGCCTGAGACATCCTCGAAACTTCTGAGCTCTGAGGTTGCCCGCGCGAGGTGGTCCGGCCGGTCTCGCCTGAGGACAATCCTTGCAACCTCTGAGCCTGAGATGCTGGCGCAAGGTGGGTCCGGCCTGCTTTCGCACAAGACCATTCTCGCACTTTTCTTTTTTTTTCTTTTTTTTTTTTTTATTTTTTTCCTTTTTTTTTTTTCTTTTTTTTTTTTCTGAGCTCTCATTCTTGCTGCGCGAGAGGTTGGTCCAGCCTGGGCGCCCAGACCGGACCACCATGTGTACATATACTTTTCTTTTTTTTTTTTTTTTTTTTCCATGGGACCCTGCGAGCCTCAGGAGGCCCCATAGAGGTCCAGGAGGCCGCAGGACGCCCAGGACAGGTCCCAGGGGCCCCCAGGAGATTCCCAGGAGGCTCCCAGGAGGCTCCAGGAGGCCCTCAATCAGAACGTGTCAAGTTAATACACATCCGGTGTCGATTCGTTGATTCCCCAAACAGCTTGCTGAACGGGGGTGCTGTTGTGATAGAAGCTAACTCCGGCCGAGGGAAGTCGGAGCAGAGACATCCTCACAAAAATTTGATGGTCCGGGCCGTTTCGCTTGAGACATCCTCACGACTCTCGTTTCTGAGTTGGCCGGGATTGGCCGTTTCGCCTGAGACATCCTCGAAAAGTTGCGCTCTGGGACGCCGCGCGAGAGGTGGTCTGGGCCGTTTCGCTTGAGACATCCTCGAAACTCTGAGCCCCGAGGTGCCGTGCGAGAGGTGGTCCGGGCCGTTTCGCCTGAGACATCCTCGAAACTCTGAGCTATGAGATGCCTTGCGCGAGGTGGTCCGGCCCGTTTCGCCTGAGACATCCTCGAAACTCTGACCTCGGAGATGCCGCGCGAGAGGTGGCCCGGCCCGTTTCGCCCGAGACATCCTCGAACTTCTGAGCTCTGAGATGCCTTGCGCGAGGTGGTCCGGCCCGTCTCGCCTGAGACATCTTTTTTTTTTTTTTTTTTTTGCAACTCTGAGCTCTGAGATGCCGTGGCAAGGTGGTCCGAAAAATGGAATAACCAAAACATTCTGAAACAACTCTGAGCTCTCAGAGCCGCGCAAAGAGAGGTGGTCCAGCCTGGGGGGCCCAGAAGACACATGTTACCCTATCCTCCTGGGACCCCTTGGAGCCCGCCTGAGACACATCCTCGGAACTTCTGAGCTCTGAGAGCCTGCCGCGAGGTGGTCCGGCCCGTTTCGCACAAGGGACATTCTCGCAATTCTGAGCTCTGAGATGCCGTGCGCAAGGTTGTCCGGCCTGTTTCGCACAAGACATTCTCGCAACTCTGAGCTCCCAGATGCCGCGCAAGAGGTGGTCCAGCCTGGGGGCCCAGACGACCACATGTTACATATCCCCCCTGGGAGCCTGGGAGCCCCAGGAGGCCCCAGAGAGCTTCAGGAGGCCGCAGGACGCCCAGGACAGGCCCCAGGGGTCCGCAGGAGATTCCCCGGAGGCTCCCAGGAGGCACCAGGAGGCCCCCTATCAGAACGTGTCAAGTTAATACACATCCGGTGTCGATTCGTTGATTTTTCCTGCGGGGCCCAAGCGGCCACAGGTTAGATATCCCCCCTGGGAGCCCCAAGAGGCTTCAGGAAACCCCAGGTGAGGTTCAGGAGGCCACAGGAGGCCCAGGAGGAAGCCCCAGGAGGTCCCCAGGACCCCAGGAGGCCCCAGGAGGCACCAGGACGGTCACCAGGAGGCCCCCGCAACTCGGAGCTCTGAGACGCCGCGCTCGAGGTGGTCCGGCCCGTTTCGCCTGAGACTTCCTCGCAACACGTTTCGCCCGAGACACCGGCCCGTCTCGCCTGAGACATCCTTGCAACTCTGAGCTCTGAGATGCCGTGCGCAAGTTGGTCTGGCCCGTTTCGCACAAGACATTCTCGCAACTCTGAGCGCCCAGATGCCGCGCAAGAGGTGGTCCAGCCTGGGGGCCCAGACGACCACATGTTAATTACATATCCCCCCTGGGGGCCTGGGAGCCCCAGGAGGCCCCAGAGAGCTTCAGGAGGCCGCAGGACGCCCAGGACAGGCCCCAGGGGTCCGCAGGAGATTCCCAGGAGGCTCCCAGGAGGCCCCAGGAGGCCCCTTATCAGAACGTGTCAAGTTAATACACATCCGTTGTCGATTCGTTGATTTTTCCTGCTCTTGTGGCCTCCCCATTTGGGGGGGCCCCGACGGCCACATGATAGATATCCCCCCCTGGGAGCCCCAAGAGGCTTCAGGAAGCCCCAGGTGGGGTCCAGGAGGCCAGAGGAGGCCCAGGAGGAAGCCCCAGCAGGTCACCAGGAGGCCCCAGGATGCACCAGGAGGCCCCCGCAACTCGGAGCTCTGAGACGCCGCGCTCGAGGTGGTCCGGCCCGTTTCGCCTGAGACTTCCTCGCAGCACGTTTCGCCCGAGACATCGTCGCAAGACTGCGTGACGGAAGATGCCGGGCGCGCGAGGTGATCCAGGGCCGTTACGCTGGAGACATTCCTCGCAAAACTCTGGCCTACGAGATGCCCTGCGCGGAGGTGGTTCCGGCCCATCTCGCTCTGAGACATCTCGCAAACTCGGCGCCTCTGGAGATGGCCGTGCGTAGGTGGTCCGGCCGTTTCGCACCACAGACATTCTCGCAACTATGATTTTTTACTATTTTTTCTTCTTCTTTTTTTCCCTTTCTTTTCTTACTTTCTTGTGTTTTATTTTTCTTTTTTTTGTTTTTCTTTTTTTGTTTTTTTTTTTTTATTTGTTTTTTTTTTTTTGTTTTTTTTTTTTTTTTTTTTTCCAGATGCTGCGCAAGAGGTGTGTCCAGCCTGGGGGCCCAGAAGACCACATGTTACATATCCCGCCTGGGACCTGGGAGCCCCAGGAGGCCCAGAGAGCTTCAGGAGGCCGCAGGACGCCCAGGACAGGCCCCAGGGGTCCGCAGGAGATTCCCAGGAGGCTCCAGGAGGCCCTCAATCAGAACGTGTCAAGTTAATACACATCCGGTGTCGATTCGTTGATTTTTCATGCTCTTGTGGCCCCCCCCCATTTTGGGGGGCCCTGACGGCAACATGTTAGATATCTTTTCCTGGGAGCCCTAAGAGGCTTCAGGAAGCCTTAGGTGGGGTCCAGGAGGCCACAGGAGGCCCAGGAGGAAGCCCCACGACGTCACCAGGAGGTCCCAGGAGACCCCAGGAGGCCCCCGCAGCTCGGAGCTCTGAGATGCCGCGCTCGAGGTGGTCTGGCCCGTTTCGCCGCGCGCGAGGTGGTCCAGCCCGTTACGCTGGAGATATCCTCGCAACTCTGGCCTCCGAGATGCCCTGCGCAAGGTGGTCCGGCCCATCTCGCCTGAGACTTCTTCGCAACTCTGAGCTCTGAGATGCCGTGCGCAAGGTGGTCCGGCCCGTTTCGCACAAAACATTCTCGCAACTCTGAGCTCTCAGATGCTGCGCGAGAGGTGGTCCAGCCTGGGCGCCCAGAAGACCACATGTTACATATCCCGCCTGGGATCCTGGGAGCTCCAGGAGGCCCCAGAGAGCTTCAGGAGGCCGCAAGACGCCCAGGACAGGCCCCAGGGTCCACAGGAGATTCCCAGGAGGCTCCCAGGAGGCCCCAGGAGGCCCCCTATCAGAACGTGTCAAGTTGATACAAATCCGGTGTCGATTCGTTGATTTTTCCTGCTCTTGTGGCCCCCCCATTTGGGGGGGCCCCGACGGCCACATGTTAGATATCCCCCCCTGGGAGCCCCCAAAAGAGGCTTCAGGAAGCCCCAGGTGGGGTCCACAGGAGGCCAGAGGCAGGCCCAGGAGGAAGCCCACGAGGGTCCAAGGATGACCTGAGAGGACCCCAGAAGGCCCCTTGCAACTCGGAGCTCTGAGACGCCGCGCTCGAGGTGGTCCGGCCCGTTTCGCCTGAGACTTCCTCGCAGCACGTTTCGCCCGAGACATCGTCGCAACTCTGGGGTCCGAGATGCCGCGCGCGAGGTGATCCAGCCCGTTACGCTGGAGACATCCTCGCAACTCTGGGCTCCGAGATGCCGTTCGGGATGAAGAGGAGGTGGAGGAGGAGGAGGAGGAGGAGGAGGAGGAGGAGGAGGAGGAGGAGGCATGTTTTAACATGCGATGCCAGCCCGCACTGGACGGGCACGCAATCGACCTTGGAAACCGCAGTGGGTCTAAAAACCCTGTTTGGGGATATTGCACTCCGACTATAATTTTGTGTATGCCACTTTTTGCTCCCCTAATGACGATGCACTCAGAGGGAGTGATTCGCGATGACGCCGTTTTGGGAAGGTCTGCCCGCCATCCGTGCGTTGCACAACTTCCAGCCTCTGTTCGTGCAAGCTGTGGTAGCGGGAGCACCGTTTTGAAAAGGAACCGCCCTCCATCCGCGCACAAGTTTCGCAAATTGGATTCCGGGGTCACGGGATGTGAGGAGGTCTCAGTCGAGAGCCGCATTGTGAAAACGAACCATCCTCCATCCTTGTAGCTGGTGGAATTGTCTGCAATGAGTGCACGCGGCGATAAGGCACGAGCCGCATCTGGAAAACCACTGGCCGAGTGTGCGCGGCGAAAGGGCGACAGTCGCATTTTGAAAACGACTGGCCTTCCATCTTCGTAACTGTCAGAGCATGTTTAAGCGTACCCCCACCAGCCCGTCCGAACGATGCCCATGGGAGTTGCTTGGATGAGGAGGTTGAAGGATGGGGAGGAGGATGAGGAGGAGAACGAGGTTGAGCAGGAGGAGGAGGATGAGGAGGAAGGAGGGAGAAGGAGGACGAGGAGAAGGAAGACGGGGACGATGAGGAGGAATGGGAGAGGAGTCTCTCGGAGAGGAGACGAAGAAGGACGAGGAAGAGGCCTTTGTGGATATCTTGTTGTGAAAGCCTCTTGGAGAACTTCTTGGGGGTATTTTGAAGTCTTGCTGGGGTCCTCTTGGGACTGTCTCAGGGTCCTCTTTGGGCTCTCTTGGAGCTGTTTGGGGGGGTCACTGCCCCCTGGAGCTTGTTGGAGCGGTCTTGAGGCCTTTTTTGGGCGATCTTGGTTTGGGCCTCATGGCTCAAAAGGTGTGGGGCGGGGCTGGAATTCCCTCCCCACCCCCCCCCCTCCCCCTCCCCCCCCCCTCCCCCTCCCTCCCCGCCCTCCCCCCCCCTCCCCCTCCCCCCTCCCCCTTCCCCGCCCTCCCCCCCCCTCCCCCTCCCCCCCTTCCCTCCGAAGCCGAACAATTGCCTCTTGGGGGCCGTTCGGGGCACTCTTGGAGGCCTCTTAGGGGCCCTCTTGGGCCGTACTGCGGCCCTCTTGGGCAGTATTGGGCCCTTCGTGGCCTCCTCTTGGGCTATCTGTGTGCCATCGTGAGGTCTCAGAGGCCTATCCGAGGCGAAACGGCGAGAAGGCACCACTCATTGAGCCCCTCTCAGGTTTTGGACAGGGTTTGGCTTCTTGGTTCCTCGGGAGGCTCCGTTAGCATCTGGAGCCGTCTCGTGGCCGTCTTGGGGGCCCCTTCGATGCAGGTCGGAGGCTAAGTAAAGCCATCTTGCGCTATGTTGCGTAGCACGTGAAATCATCTTGAGTTAGGCGAGGCCAGCTTGGAGCCGTCTTGGGCAGACAAGGAAGGACCCTGCAACGCTTCGCGCCCAGTCCCCCCCCCGCATGAAGGGGAAGAACGGTGCCCAGAAGAGGGAAGATCATAATAGTTATGCCACCTGCGTCCATAAGTCTGGTGGCACTCATGTACACGGCGCGAAGACTGGTGCCGTATTATGAAAGCCACTGGCCCTCCTTCTTTGTATATGCTTCAGTTTCAGCTTCGAGCAGTGCGTCTGGCCTGGCCCATGGACACGCTCGGTGGCTCGACATGGTGGGAGTTGTCTATACAGGAGACGGGTGGAGGAGGATGAGGAGGAGAAGGAGGTGGAGGACGAGGAAGGACCGGATATGGAGAGGGAGAAGGAGTAGTAGTAGTAGTAGTAGTAGTAGTAGTAGTAGTAGTAGTAGTAGTAGTAGTAGTAGTAGTAGTAGTAGTAGTAGTAGTAGAAGTAGTAGTAGTAGTAGTAGTAGTAGTAGTAGTAGTAGTAGTAGTAGTAGTAGTAGTGTAGCAGTAGCAGCTGGCAGCCAGCAGCAGCAGCAGCAGTAGTAGTAGTAGTAGTAGTAGTAGTAGTAGTAGTAGTAGGAGGAGGAGGAGGAGGAGGAGGAGGAGGATACGTGCTTGAGAGATAGAGAGAAAGAGATATGCATAATCATAAAAGCGATATCTAGATATGCATAGGTATATACAGAAAGAGAGAGAGAGAGAGAGAGTGTGTGAAAGAGAGAGAGAGAGAGAGAGGGAGAGGGAAAGAGAGAGAAAGTCGTAGTCGTAGTCGTAGTCGTAGTCGTAGTCGTAGTCGTAGTCGTAGTCGTAGTAGTAGTAGTAGTAGTAGTAGTAGTAGTAGTAGTAGTAGTAGTAGTAGTAGTAGTAGTAGTTAGTAGTAGTAGTAGTAGTAGTAGTAGTAGTAGTAGTAGTAGTAGTAGTAGTAGTAGTAGTAGTAGTAGTAGTAGTAGTAGTATAGTATTAGTAGTAGTAGTAGTAGTAGTTGTTGTAGTAGTAGTAGTAGTAGTAGTAGTAGTTAGTAGTAGTAGTAGTTAGTAGTAGTTAGTAGTAGTAGTAGTAGTAGTAGTAGTAGTAGTAGTAGTAGTAGTAGGTAGTAGTAGTAGTGGTCGTAGTAATAGTCGATAGTAGTGGTAGTTAGTAGTAGTAGTAGTAGTAGTAGGAGTTTTAGTAGTAGTAGAAGTAGTAGTAGTAGTAGTAGTAGTAGTAGTAGGTAATAGTAGAGAAGTAGGAGGAGGAGGAGGAGGAGGAGGAGGAGGAGGAGAAGGATACATGCTTGAGAGATAGAGAGAAAGAGATATGCATAATCATAAAAGCGATTTCTGAATATGCACAGGTATATACAGGAAGAGAGAGGGAGAGAGAGAGAGAGAGAGAGAGAGAGTGGAAGAGAGAGAAAGAGAGAGAGAGAGAGAGAGGGAGAGGGAAAGAGAGAGAAAGAGAGCGAGAGAGAGAGAGAGAGAGAGAGAGCGAGCGAGCGAGCGAGAGAGAGAGAGAGAGAGAGCGAGCGACGCCCTGGAGGCCTTTCGCGACCATCTCAAGGACGCGAACCTGCTGCAGTTCTTCGGCGCGTCCCTCTCGCCCCCCGCCGAGCGTCCTCCCTGCGCACGGCGGGTGGCGCCCCTCTGGGCCTGCCTCCCCACCAGCTCTGCCTTGACCTCGCCTCCCTTATCCTCCTCCTCCTCCTCCCCCTCCTCCTCCTCCTCCTCCTCCTCCTCCTCCTCCTCCCTCCTCCTCCTCCAGCCTCCTCCCTCCTCCTCCTCCTCCTCCTCCTCCTCCTCCTCCTCCGCCTCCGCCTCACTCCTCCTCCTCCTCCTCCTCCTCCGCCTCCGCCTCTGCCTCCTCCTCCTCCTCCTCCTCCTCCTCCTCCTCCCCCTCCTTGCCCTCCCTCCATCAAGGGAGGAGAGACCACCCGGACCGGACAATGTGGCGTTTTCGAAACGGCCCTGGGCGTTCACTGAGCAGCCCTTCCCTGTTTGATTCCTTCTCTGGGCGCGTTTACTGAACGACTTTTCGCGTGTCGGGGTGGCTATGATAGGGGGTGGATTTTTTGACCTCCACTCCAGCCTCCCTCCCTCATCCCACCGCTTCGACGCTCCGCCGTCTTTCAGCTGTCCGGCCTCGTCGGCAGCCTCGACGTGTGTCCCCCTCCTCTCCCCCGCTGCGTCCCGTGCTCTCTCTTCGAGAGCTGCCGCCTCTGCTCCTGCTGCTCCTGCCGCCTGCTTTCTCGCGGCAGCATCTCTGGGGCGGCGCGAACCCGTGCGGCGTGCCAGTCGTGCTGAGAATTAGGATGTTCCAACCTGCTTTAGCCTTGATCACCAGAAAGACTTTCGAGCACCAAAAAAGTGCCGAAGCTCGAGGGTTTTCACGCGTCGTGCCCTGGGAGACACTCGTCCGACACTGTTTCGACACTGTTTCGACACTCTTTCGACACTTTTCTGGGTGCTTGAAATTGTTTCTGGCATGTGGGCTTCAAGTACGATGGGGCAAATATATGCCGAGAGCAGCTTTTCTGTACGTTGTGTGATGTCCTGGCGTATGGCGGTTGCGACTGGGCAGATCGATTCCCCAGGCTCTTCACCAGCACGGCTCTGTTACACTGGCAGGGACTCGTCCGCGCATGGGAGCATCCTTTGGACACCCTGTTGTTTCACCCCTCGATGTTGGTCTTGCGTTCGACCCATCCCCCTCGTGGATCAGCTAAAGACATGACTGGCGGATCCGAGGGTAGGGGCGCGAGTGTTTAGTTACCGTTGGTCAATGAGCCACGCCCGCCTCGGAGCTCCAGAAGTGGCTGACTGCTCTGACGCCCAGGGTGGGGCTGATTGGATGATTGAGAAGCTCGCCCATTCACAAAATAGTTTGCCCGAGCAATCGCTCACCGGAGCTTTCAATGGTATTTCTTCCACCAGGTTCTTCCAGCAGTGATGGCGATACCATGCTTCATTACTGGCCCTAGTCACCTTCCACTTCATCCATCTGGCCCTGATCAAGTTTGGCCCCACTTGCCCTGTGACGATGAACAGCCTGCGAGCCCGCCGACCAGAAATCAGCACTCATAGCCAGAACGTGGATCGTCATGTTTGCGGAATTGGTGGTCCATGTTGAGCAGCTTGGTGTATCAGTGGCGTAGCTCGATCATGGCGACTGGTAATTTCGGCAGTTATGCTTGCATATCGAAGACGCCTGCGGCCAACCACCGCCGCCCCTTGCCTTTTGGAAACGTCCATGCGGCCAACCGTTGGGCCAAAGTCTAGCCAAACTACTGGACTACAGGCCTCGGAAAAAAATAGTGAACACTCATGCCACATTCATATGTGAACGCCTCCCCCTCCCCCAAATGTTCAAAGTTGGCGGTGGGTCTGATGAGTTGCACCTCGACCGCAGTCTCCCCCGCGCGTGCCAACCTTGAGTTTGGGGGGCAGGGGGGGTGTTCACTAATTGTTTCCCTCTACCGTATGTGTCCCCCGCAGCCGTTGTGGAACCCCTTGGGGGAACACCTGGGCGAGAAAGAGAAAGGAGGATGATAGGGAGGAGATGGAGGAGGAGGAGGAGGAGGAGGAGGAGGAGGAGGAGGAGGGATGATGATGATGAGGAGGTGGAACAAGAAATTAGTAATAATAATAATAGTAGTAATATACACGAATAGTCATAATAAGACTAATTATACCACGAGTAAAGAATAATAATAATAAGACGAAGCCTAACCATATTAATACTAATGATATCAAGCATCATATTCAATACAATATTAATAATGCCAATACTATGAATACTAATAATACGGGTAATAGTAAGAATAATCAAACTAAGAGGATGCTGATGATGATGAGGAGGAGGAGGAGGAGGAAGAGGAGGAGACGCAGGCCAGTGCGCCGTCTTGTGGCTTCTTGGGGGCTTTCTGGGAGCCTCTTTGGGGACTCCTCTAGGGGGCCTCTAGGGGGCCTCTTGGGGGCTTCTTTGGGGCCTCCAGGGCCTCTAAGAGACCTCTTGGCCTTCGAAGGTCGTCTTGGGATGGGCAGTTGTGGGCCCCTCTCTGGGCGTTTTAGGGAAGTCTTCGGAGGTCAGTGGGCCGTCTTGTGGGCCTCTTGGGCTCTCTTGGGGCCCTTTGTTGCTGTCTTGCGGGCCTCTTGGGGGCCCCGTAGCCGTCTTGGGGCGATCTTGAGGGCCTATAGGGCCGTCATGGAGCGTCGGAAGCCCGAAAAGGCAAGAATGCTAGCGTCATTGAAAAACGTAAGGGCAATCAATACTTTCGGCCTCTTGGAGGGCCTCTTGTAGCCCTCTTGGGGCGTCTTTGGGGTCTCATGGGCCTTTGGAGGGCATCTTGGGCTGTCTTGGGGCCATCGTGGCCGTCTTGGAGGCGATCTGGGTCTTGCCGACCAGATTTTGGGCAGCTCTCCAGGTGGCTGGCGGGATCGGCTGAGACCTCATTGGGAACTTTTATTAAGAAAAATGTCTAACAGTCAAACGTCTGGCACGCCAGGCACTCAGGCACCCCTCTGATACATCAACAGTGAGCGGCGGACTTAACGATCTATTCATATTGATTTTCGCAAGGCTGGTTGCTAGATTTAGTTATGTCGTGCCGAAGCCTTAACACCAACAGGGCTCCAAGACGCTAAGCCAGCCACCTCGCGCCCTCACAGCATAAACGCGCTTTCCGTCCCCATGCCAAGCAGGTGGCGGAAAGAGCGAGGTACGAGTGATGACGTTGTGGTGGGGCGACCCTCTAGGGATGTGGTCCAGGGGAGGGGCGAGGCGGGCCCAGATCGGATGTAATGGCTAGCTTTCCTTGTTTTTTCGAGTGAAGCAGCTCCTGGGCGGCTCCTATGGCCTGGTTCTTCGTACTTTTCTCAATGAAGCGGCCAGAGGGCCCCAAGACGGCCCAAGAGGGCTCCAAAACGACCCCAGAGGACCCCAAAACGGCCCCAAGAGAGCCTCAGATGCCGAGAGGGCTCCCAGGGGCAGAAACCATGAATTTCCAATGACTTCTGAAGGTTTGGGAATTTTGTTTTTTTTCGGGCCAGGAACGGTCCAAAACGGCCCGCGAAGCTCCAAAGACCGTCCCAAGGCGGTCCAAGAGGCCCCCGAAAGGGCCCAAACGGTTCAAGAGGGCCCGCCAGTTCGGCCCCAGGGGGGTTCCAAACGGCGCAAAAGGGCCCCAAGACGGCCCCAAGAGAGCCCCAAGAGGGCCGAAAGGCTCCCAAGAGGGTCCCAAGAGGCCCCCAAGAGAGCCCCAAGACGGCCAAAGGCTTCCAAGACGCCCCTAGACGGCCCAGAAGGGCCCCAAGACGGCCCAGAATTGATCCAAACGGGCTTCGGAAGGGCCCCCAAAGGGCCCCAAGAAGACCCCGACGAGGCCCAAGAGACGCTCAAGAACACCATGCTCCCATACGCGAGCGGTGACGTAACAAGCCCTTGACACAAACGAGCGCGCCCTGGATTTTGACGCTCCGGTTTTCGTGGGATGTCTGCGGCGGGAGCTCGCGTCAAATTTCAGATTGGGTCTCGTCATTTTTGTGATGGCAGCGTCAGGCCAACCTGAGTCCCCCGTCCCCGAGTCTTGCGTCTTCTCATTTGACAGGGCCGGACCGAGGTATGAGATCGAGGTCGGTGCGGGGAGGGTGCCCTGGTGCTCTTCGCGCTTGCCGGGCGCTCTCGTGCCTCCCCGGGGGAGGCTGCCCTCGGAGCCCTGACCTTCTTCCAGGAGGGCTTAAAGAATAGCGCCCGACCTCTAAAAACCTATCCCAGAGCTGTTCTACGTCTTGGTTTTGGGCTGTTTCGCTCCGCTTTTTAGGTTTGTGCTAAAACATAGCTCTCTGGAAGGTCAGGCCGGCGGAGGGCCTCTCGTCGTCGAAGGCTGCTCCCCTGCCCCGGGTCCCGGCCGTGGCACCTCCCGGAGGCCACGGCCCCCTCCACCCGGCGTGGCCGGCCCGGGCGCCCCCTCCACGCTGGTGTCAGGAGGGGGCAAAGCACACACAGACATAAGGAATCGTCGATCCCCAGGAGGACATGGGAAAGTATGGGAAGTGTGGGGGGGGGAAGACGGAAGCCCAGGAACTACAGGGAAATAGGGGGACTATTTTTGTTTGTGTGTACCTGTTTGTGTGTCCCAGGGCCCCTTGGGCCCCTTGAAAGGGGGCCTCCCCCGTAGCGACAAGGAGTGCCTGTGGTGGCTCGTGCGCCGGCCGACGCCCTCGCGCGTGGTGCCGAGGCCTGGCAGCACGCGTGCGCCATCCGCCGCCGAGCACGAGGGCCGGGAGGGCGAGGCGGAGGCGGAGGCGGAGGCGGAGGCGGAGGAGGAGGAGGAGGAGGCAGAGGCGGAGGCGGAGGAGGAGGAGGAGGAGGAGGAGGAGGAGGAGGAGGAGGAGGAGGAGGCGGAGGCGGAGGGGGAGGAGGAGGAGGAGAAGGAGGAGGAAGGAGGAGGAGGAGGAGGAGGAGGAGGAGGCAGGGAGGAGGAGTGGAGGAGGAGGAGGAGGAGGAGAGGATGAGGGGAGGAGGAGGAGGAGGAGGAGGCGGAGGCGGAGGAGGAGAGAGGAGAGGAGAGAGGCGGGATTCGGAGGAGGAGGAGGATGGAGGAGGAGGAGGAGGAGGAGGAGGAGGAGGAGGAGGCGCAGGAGGAGGAGGAGGCCGCTCGCTGGCCCGCGCGGGCCCCCCCTCTCGCTGGCCCTCCTCCCGGGGCCTCTCGGGGCCGCCTCGGGGGCCTGCCGGGCCTGCCTCGGGTGTGCAGCTTTCAGTCGGGCCTGTCCCCCCCTACAGAGGGGACTTCGACGGAGCATCACAAATAACTCCAACAATACTCCAAGAATAGTCCAAACATAGTCTGGGGACCATTTTTCGGGTCTTTTTTAACCTTTCTGGGGTATTTTTGGGGTATTTTTTGGTGTATCGTCGAATATCCCCTTGTAGGGGGACGCGCCCGACGTGAGTGTAGGCAGGACCCCAGGTGCGGTGGCCCGGTCAGTAGTGGGGCCCATGGAGCCCCTAGATCGGCCAGCATCACCAAGCCAGGTCTGCCGTAGCTGGTGCTCTGTGTCGGGTGACGGCAGTTCGGGTCAGTGGAGCGGGGCCGGGGGGCGTCCCCCTGTACTCGGGGGCGGCAAAGAGGGGGGTGACGACTAGGGGGGGGTGGATATCATGGCGGGGGCCATGATATTTCCCCAGATTTCATGGCGCCTCTTCTTATTTTATTACGTCCCTGGCCCCCCCGCCAGGCCGCGCACATGCTGCCGGTCATGATTTGCACCCCCCCCCTCTTGGACACCCCCGTCTTGGCCGCTCCCGAAGTACACATCACTAAACCAGGTCCCACGAAACCCAGTTCTGCCAGCGCCCGACTGTCGGAGGGAGGGTGGAGGCCGCTTGGTTACCAGAGTGCTGCTCTTGCTCGAGCGCTGTGCACTGTCGCTCTGGAGTGAGGTCGGGCAGGTCCCTTCACAGGAGGAGTAATCAAGAATGGTGCAACAATAGTCTGGGGAATTTTCTTTATATTGAACATTTATCTGAACATTAGGAAAGCGCTGTTCGCATATTTTTCGATCTTTTCATTTTTCCTCCAAAATCCGCCTGTAGGAGGACATGCCCGACCTGACTCTAAAGGCTTGCAGCTGTTGAGCGAATGGATTGCGGTTCCTTTCCCAAAAAGGGGGCTCTCGCTGCAGATTCCTTCCAGCTTGCCGACCAGAAGCTGGAGCGACTGCATCAGTGGACGGATGGAGGGCGGCTCCCTTTCAGAAGGGGGCTCTCGCTCGAGGAGGAGGAGGAGGAGGCGGAGGAGGGGGAAGAGGGGGAAGAGGGGGAGGAGGGGGAGGAGGAGGAGGAGGAGGAGGAGGAGGAGGAGGAGGAGGAGGAGGAGGAGGAGGAGGAGGAGGAGGTGAAGGAGGAGGTGACCAGGCGTGCAATCTCGTGGAGCGGCTGCACGGGTGCGGGGGTGGTTCCTTTCTTGAAAGCGAGGCCCTCGCTGGCCACCGCGTGGATCTCTACGGTGTTCTACCTCTCTTCGTGCTTCGGAGCACTCGCCTGCAGGAGCTCTCGCCCGCACGGCAGGCCCCTGGAGAGCGCTCCTCTCTCATAGGGGGCGCCTCTTTTGCAGAGAGGGGGCGCTCGCACGGGCTTATCAGGGGGGGATTTGGGACAGGAGTGTGCGCTGCAGCATCGTCGATACATCTCGGGTTTACTCTGGTCCTCCTCCTCCTCCTCCTCCTCCTCCTCCTCCTCCTCCTCCTCCCTCTCTTCCTCCTTCCTCGATCCCTCCCTCCTCTCTTCCCATCCTTCCCCACTTCCTCCCCTCCTCCTCTGGCACTGTGCTCCGAGCTTCCCAGAGGCGCCCCTCAAGCCTGCGTGGTAGCAGAGTCTGTGGTGACCCGCTGGGCTCTTGAATCGTAGCGTCTTCGTCGCTTGCGGGGGGGATGCCAGAAAACAACTTCCCCCTCCTCCTCCTCCGCCTCCTCCTCCTCCTCCTTCTCTGAGGTCGAACCTGCTGAAGAAGCCCACGTTCGAGCTCACCGTCATGATCGCGGGCCTGCTGCCCCTGGGCACGGTCGCGACGCGCGGTCGCCTGGGCTGCTGCAATAGGGCGCCGCCGCTGTCGGAAACGTAGAGGCAGGGGGACGAGCGGGAGGGAGGGGAGGGAGGGAGGGGAGGGAGGGGAGGGAGGGGCGGAAGGGGGACGAGTGGGAGGGACGAGTGGGAGGGAGGGACGAGTGGGGAGGAGGGGAGGGAGGGAGGGAGGGGAGGGAGGGAGGGGAGGCAGGGGGACGAGTGGGAGGGAGGGGAGGGAGGAGGGGTTTGAGGAACACGGTGGGGGCGCTCGGAGGAGTGTGCTCAGGAGGCGTCAGATCCCGGGGGACTCCTCACCTGACGAGGGCGGCGGTGACATCCAGGACCAATCTTCAGCTGGCGTCCAGCATCCAGGCCCCGGATTCCTTATCCACGGGTTTCTTGCCTCACGCCTGTTTCTGTCAGAGTTCATGCCAGCGCGTGCCCTGTGCACAAAGTGCCTTCGCCGCGCCAGTGTCCGGGCTCTGGCCCCAGATCTCGGGCAGAACGTGGTCGGCATTCCATCGAGCGCAGTAGCGTCGCCTGATACGACCCCAGATACGCAGCCACACACACACACGCACATCAGCCCTGCCGGGCGCCGCCCTCCATCGGGCTTGCCCAGAAAAACGACCGGCGAACGGGCGGCCGAGGTAGGTGAGGAGCCTCGGGTGGAAGGCGCCCCGACCGAGGGCGGTGCTCGTGGAGAACGACTCCGCAACTTCGAGGACCTCATCCGCCGCGATCGCTGGCAACTCCGCCGTACACTCCCGGGACGCACAGACTGCCAGTGCTCAGGCTTGCTCCACAGCGCCTTCCATTCCACCGAGACACGGTGCAGCGCGTGCTGCCCGACCAGCGGCACTGGCAGGCCTCCTGCTGGCGGCTCGCCGAGGGTGGGCGCCTCCTCGCGGTGGACAAAGAGACATAACTGCTGGAGGCTGAAATGTTGGAAAACCCTTGGGGAAAACAAAAAAAAGTTTCCCAGCAATGCCGCCCGCCCATGTAATCTCTGAGATCTTTGGTTTTTTGGGTTGCTTTGGTTGTTCCGATGGTTTTTCAAAGATTTCCGCCTCCAACACTTCAGTTTTTTTTTTTTTGTTCTCAGGGTGTTCCTAAAGTTATGGCTTTCCCTTGGAAGGGGGAAGGAGGAGGAGGAGGAAGGGGAACGGGGGGTGGGGGGGGAGGGTGAGCAAGAGAAGAATGATGAGGAGGATGAGAGGATTATAAGATGAAGGGGGATGAGGGGGAGGAGGAGGAGGAGGGGGAGGAGGAGGACGAGGAGGAGGAGGAGAAGGAGGAGGAGGAGGAGGAGGAGACTTTGCGCAAAATCCTCAAAATCGCGGGGGTCCGAAACCGAACTGGAACCGAGGATTATTATGCTGATGCTGCTGCTGATGATGATGCTGATGATAATCATTATGCTGCTGCTGATGGTGATGATGATGCTGATATTGGCGACGACGACGACGACGTCTCCGCCGAACAAGAGAGTCAAACGGTTCTCATACAGAAAAGCGTAATGGGAAACGGAGTGGTCATTCCGTGCCGAAGCGCTGGACAACATGCAAGTTGATGAGCCGCTCGAATTGTGCCCGATTTGGGAAGATCGGTCACTGGGCTCGAGACTGCACGAACGAGAAAGACAAGCGAGTACGGAACCGTCAAGCAGGCTTCGGCGGTTTTCGACGACGACGACGACTGGTACGTTGACCAGGGCCACATTTCGAAAACGGCCCGCCCTCAATCCGTGAACCCCTTGCAAGTTTTTACGACGAGCGTGCGCGGCGCTCAGGCGAGAGATGCATTTTGAAAACGGCCCGCCCTCAATCAGTGAAACATTATTTGCAGTTTTTGAAGACGAATGCGCGCGGAGCTAAGGCGAACGCCACATTTTGAAAGCGGCCTGCCGTCAATCCGTGAAGCTGTTAGTCGTTTTTCCAAAAACGAGCGTGCGCGGCGCTAAGGCGAGAACCACATGTTGAAACGGAGCCGCCTTCAATCCGTGGAACCCGTGCAACTTGTGAGGGCGAATGTGAGCGGCGCGACGGCGACAACCACATTTTGAAATGGACCCCTCCCAACCCGTGAACTTCTTCCAGCTTTCAAAGGCGAATGTGCGCGGCGTTGGGGCGATAATCACATTTTGAAAATCGCCCGCCCTCAATTGGTGAACTTGCTGCCAACCCTTGGGCTTCATGATCATACTTGGCAAGCAAATCTCGTGCGAAGCGCCGGGCTTGCCCTTCCGATTGGCCCTGGGGTGCGACAGGGAAGAGTTATGCATATGAGCATAGGAGGAGGAGGGGGGGAGGAGGAGGAGGAGGACGAGGAGGAGGAGGAGGAGGAAGAGGATAATAATAAGCAGAAGCACAATACCAAGAAGAAGACGCATCATACTACTACTACTACTACTACTACTACTGCTGCTACTGCTACTACTACTACTACTACCACTACTACTACTACTCCTGCTACTCCTACTACTCCTACTACTACTACTGCTACTGCTGCTACTACTACTACTACTAGTACTAGTACTAGTACTATTACTGCTACTACTAATACCACCACCACTACTACTACTACTACTACTACTACTACTACTACTACTACTACTACTGCGCCTACTACTACTACTACTACTACTACAACTACTACTACTACTACTACTACTATACTACTACTATCAATACCAGGAGCACTAAGACATATACTAATACTAATACTAGTACTAATGATAGTAGCAATACTAAGAATGATACCAATTCCAACACTATGAGCAATAATCATAATAAGGGTAAAAGTGCCAAGGCTAATAATACGACTACTAAGAATAATACTAGTTCTAAGAATGTTATTAAGAAGAGAGTCGTACTACTAATACTGATACTCATAATGATATTACTGGGAATCCGAAGACTATTACGAATACGAATAACACGGCGAACCATAGTAATACTACTAACAATACTAATGATACTACGAATACTCACACTAATAATACTAGCACTACTAATAGTAATAATAAGAATACCAATGATACTAATACTATTAATAATAACCATACTACTACTACTACTACTACTACGAATACGTATAACAATACTACTAATAATAATAACACTATTAATGATACTATTACTACTACTATTACTACTACTACTACTACTACTACTACTACTACTACTAATCATACTACTAGTAATACTGATACTAATACTAATACTAACAATACTAATACTACGAGTAATAATACCAATACTAATAATAATACTACTGATAGTAATAGTAGTAATAATAATATCAATAATATTAACCACAATAATAATACTATTACTAATACTAATACTACTAATACTACTACTACTACTAATAATACCACTAATAATATCAAGAAGAATAAGCATAAACATAATACTAATCCTGAGGAGGAGGAGGAGGAGGAACAGCAGGAGGAGGAGGAGCAGGAGGTGGAGGAGGCGGAGGAGCAGGAGGAGGAGGAGGCGGAGGCGGAGGCGGAGGCGGACGAGGAGGAGGAGGAGGAGCAGGAAGACGAGGAGGAGGAGGTCCGTAGCCATTTTGGCTCAAGTCCGTAGTGCTTCGGTACAGGACCTGGCTGTTTTGGCAGGGGGGGGGGGGACGGCCCCCACAGTTTCTCCTCGTTGCCTGCCAGACGAGGTTGGTTCCTTTCACTTTTCTTTTGTGAGCTCCTGCAGGAGCAACGACGTCCCAGTCAGGTCAGCCCCTGGCTGCAGCTCGCCGATGGCTCCTCTGTTCTTTCGTGATGCTTGGGTGCGCAAGCCTACAGGCGAGCCTCAGCAATAGTATCGTGACGGCGAGGCGCTCAGCAAAGCACCTTGCCCTCACTGCGGCTGCAAGAAGAACAAGAAACACTTCTGGTTTTGCAAGCATTGCCTGCAGCCATTGTCCTTCGTGGCTCCGTCCGCTCCGCCCGAGGCCTCGGGCGCCTGGGCCAGCAGGCCTCCCATTGGCGCCCTCCGCGCCCTGGGCGACGGTGGCGCTGCGGGCGCAGGCGGATCCCAGTACACCAAGGGCGGCAAGGGTGGCAAGTCTGGCAAGGGCAAAGGCAAGGGTCAAGATGATGGCCAGTCTTCAGCTCCGCAGCCACCTGGCCCAGGCAAGCCAGCGAGTGAGCCCAGAATGCCTGGGCTTCAACTGGGTGACCCTGGATGGCTCCGCTCGGCAGGTAATCACTCTTGGGCTAACTATTCCAAGGAGGATGTGCCAGTGTTGCTCAGTTTGGCCGCAAACTTCCAGCGCGTCGGCGACACGCACAGTGCCGACTTGTACAACCGCTACGCCAGCCAGCTGCAGATGGCGTCGGTGCCCAAGCCCCAGGCAGTGGGGGCTGCTCAGCACGCCATGCGCGAGGCTACGAAGTTCTTGGATAAGAAAGTGCGCGCCGCTGAGTCTCTCAAGCAACAGCTCCACGACGCAGAGCAGGCCGCCATCAACGCCCTCTCTGATTTCGAGGAGTGCCAAACCAACTACCACAAGGCAGTGCGTCTCCTGGCCGAGCATGTGCCCCCTGAGGGTGCGGGCGCGACGGCGGCCTCCACAGCCGCGCCCCGCGCCCGCGGCCTCAGCCTGGAGCGCCTTCTGGACGAGCACGCTCCTGTGGAGATCTTCGCCGACGACGACCTGTTCGGGCTGGAGGCCGAGGGCGTGGAGCTTTCTGAACACGAGCGCGAAGAGGTGGCTCGGCGCAAGGCGGAGGTCGAGGACACCATCAAGATGGCTGTGGCGGAATCCTTCGGCCAGGTCAAGCAGAGGGCCAAGGGGCTGGTCGACGAGCAGCGCGCCTTCCGTGCCCGCATGCAGCTCAAGCGCCGCGAGGTCGGCGACGACGACGAGGGCGACAGAGATGCTGCTGGAGGTGGCGCGCCAGCCACCTCTGGCGCGGCCGCCGCTGCTACCCCCGCAGCAGCCGAGGGCCCCGCGGCCACCCCTGCCGCCGCCCCAGGCCCGAGGGCTCCCTCGGCCCCATCGGCTGCCGCGGTGGCCCAGGCTTGCGGCATCGCCTAGGATTCGACCGCTGAGAAGCGCCCTGTGGATGCGATGGGCTCTGCCGAGCACAGGTTGCGGTTCGACATGGCCCTTGCAGCTTCAAGAAATACAGTCGAACCTGGTCATTCTCAGTCAGGACTTTAGCAGACTACGACAGTGGGCAACTACGTTCGGGACTTCGATTTCGACGTCCCCGACATGATCGCCACAGTCACCTGCCATGAGACCGCTGAGACCCCCCCCAGATGAAACCCTAGGTAGGCCAGCGTCCCCGCGGCGCTGGGACCGCCTAGAGGGACCCTGGGGCAGGGGATCGGCGGGCAGAGGGCGCCACATGTTCGCGGTACGGCTTGCCTCGCGATATTTCTTCACGTGTACTACCACACTAGGTTGGGGGCAGCCCGAAATTGCCCCGAGTCCCAAGCAGAGCACGCACGACATCGGCATCATCGTTGGTTCCGGTTCGCCTTCCTGTTCAGCTACCCTGTCATTCTGTCCAGTCGCCGTCGGCAGGGGCGGTGCAGCCATCATCTACAACGAAGCCTGTTTCATCTTCGGCGTCGCCCACTCCTGCTTGCGCAGGCCCCCGACCTGCTTGTGAGTCTGGTGGCGCGCGTGAGCAGGATGCCAGCACGCCTGGCGCTCGCGCCAAACCCACTCTTCCCTCCTCGTCAGAGTTGAAGCGTGTGGTGTTCGATGCGGCCGATACTATGTCCTGGGGATCTCTCAAAACATACTTGCAGGACGAGGCCCAGGGGACCATCGTTTTCCTCCAGGACTTCAGCTTCGGGGGGCCGCCGTGCGAGGGGGTCAACCAGCTGAAGAACATAGGGTGGAAATCTATCGTCAATCCCAGTGTCCCCACCCTGGGAGGGGGACTCAGCAGCGGTACAGGGATTGCAGTTCGTCCGCACATCCCTCTCGGAGCTTTGCCCCTCGCTCGCCCTCTTCCTCAGCCTGAGAGGGTATGCTCTGCGTGGGTCAACGCGTTCGTCCCTGGAGGCCTGGCGGCCTTCTCGCTTTATGTGGATTGCAACGACCCGCTGGGCCTCGACTCTTTCAGGGTTTTGAACCGCATAGGCGCAGAGATCCACCAGCTGCAGATCCCTTTCATCATTGGAGGGGGTTGGAACACTCACCCATCACAGCTGCTCAACACTGGGTGGGTCGACCGTCTGGGAGGCGCCATTTTGCACTCCAGCAGACCCACTTGCCGCAAGTCGGACAAGCAGTGGAGGACCATCGATTTCTTTGTCTCGCGGGGCCTCGAGTCCGCCGTGAGAAGGATCGATCGTGACGATGCCAGCACCGCATCGCCCCATTACGCTGTGTCCTTGGAGCTCGAAGGGAATCCCTTGGAGGCCAAGGTCAAGGCTCTGCAAGGGCCCAAGCCTTTCCCGAAGGAGCGCCCCATGGGTCCCTACCCTACGCCTCCGTCGTGGGCCCCTGCAGCGACATCCTCGACAGACCCAGTGTGGCCCCTAATGACCTGGACCAGGCTTACGTTCAGTTTTGCAAGCTTTTCGAGGCGGAACTCAAGAGTGCCCGCAACGTCGATTCCCAGGACCGTACCTATTCTGGCAGGGCCAACGGGCTCAAGCTTAAGGAGGTTTCAGCTGTGCGGACTTCTGGAGGTGATTACCCAGTTTTGTGTCCTGAAGGCCGCGCTTGGAGGAAGGTGGCAACTTGGTTTCTGGAGTTGGCGTGCCCGCTTAGGAAGGACCACCCCAGGAACCACCCAGAGATCCTCTCGCTGGGCTCCAAGTTGGCCTCGGGCCCGCCTAAGCTCTTCGAGAACCCTGAGTGGAAGCATTTGCGCGCGCATTTCCAGCTCCGCTCGATTGAGGTTAACCAGCTGTTGCAGTTTGCCGCTGCGTCCAAGCGCCAGGCAGAGCTGTTCGAACGGCACTTCCGCACCAAGAGGGCCAAGCAGTGGCGGACTTGGGTTGATAAATCTTTCGAGGGAGGAGGAGGCCTGGCACGCCGGTTCACCAAGAAGCCTTGTGGGTTCATCCCCGACAACCCCAAAGGGGGCCCCCCCCTCCAAGCCTTGAGGCGCAGATGAGTTGTCTTGAGGAGGAGTGGAAGAAGATCTGGACCCCTGCCCCTCACGTTGCCAACTTGCCCGAACACATCCATTACCTCAGCCAAGTCATATTCGGTCTGGAGAACAGCCTCTCGCTCAGGCGTCTCCTGAGGACATCCGTGCTGTGGCCAAGACCTTCAAGGCGCGCGCGGCCGTGGGGGCAGATCGCACCAGGCCGCAGGACTTTTTGTTGTTATCCGACGCAGGCTTGCAGTGCTTGGCGAGTATTTGGTTTCACATGGAGTGCTTCGGCCATAGGCCAGAACCCCTCCATCACATCCTGCTCGCAATGATTCCTCGCGATGATGGGGGTCGTCGGCCTATCGGAGTTTCACCAGGGGACATTCGCATCTTCGGTAGGTTATCTCGGTTCGAAGCCAAGGGATGGGAGCAGGCTCATCCTCGATCGTATCAGTTCGGCAGCAAGGGCAAGTCGTGCGAGAGGGCAATTTGGGGGCAATCGGTTCGTCTCGAGCATGCGCACATTTGCAAGCATCAATCTGCCCACGCCTTTGTTGACATGACCAAATGCTACGAAAAAAGGTGCCCCACTACCTCCTCGCGCGCTCGGGGATTAAGCGCGGCTTCCCGGCGCGTCGGCTTAGGTTCCTGCTCGCACTGTATCGTGGCAAGCGCTCGCTGCAGTTTGACATGCGAGTATCAGAAGATATTTATGTCGAGCAGGTGACCCTGGCAGGCTGTTCGTTTGCCACCACTCTCTTATTTTGCTTTTTGCTCGACGTGTTGGACGATGCTGTCCGCTTCTACCCCAGCATGTCCCTCTACAGTGTCGTGGATGACATTGCTATAGGAGCTGTGGGTAAGCGTAAGCATGTTATCCACATGGTTTTGGGTGCCACCAAGTTCATCTGCGTCCAGCTCGAGGCTCTGGGGTTCACCATCTCGCCCACCAGAGGTATCGTCACGGGCTCGTCGGCCCAGGTCCAGGTCATCCGCGTGGGTTCATGTTCTGGGATTTCAAGGGCATGGGGGCTACGAAGAACCTGGGTTTGGATTTTGCAGGGGCTCCCAAGCGCTCTACCAAGGTCCAGCAGCGACGTTGGCAATCCCTTTTCCCGCGCATCAGTAGGTTCCGTGGTCTCAGATCGACCTTCTCGAGCATGCACAGGGTCATCAAGACGGGTGGGGCCCCAGCGGCTCTCTATGGGGTCAGGGTCACTGGCATGGCCCCAACTCAGCTGGCCTCCTTGAGAGCCATCGTTGGAGATGCTGCATTCGGCCCAGCCAGGGGCCGCAGCAGAACGATCCAGTTCCTCGTCAACCAGGACCACAAGTTGGACCCCACCTACCAGGCTAATCAGCTCCCTTTAGGAATGTGGCACCAGGCTATCCAGCAACGATGGCTTCCCAGGTCCATGCTCAGCAGTTGCTGGAAGCACTGCCAGTCCTCCAACTCTGCTGGCAAGTGGTCCAATGTCCTCGGCCCAACTGGCGTCGTGTTGGCCACTCTGCCGCGTCTCGGTTGGGCGGGGGTGGAGTTCGGCAAGTGGGACATCGGGGGCGGGATCTCTATCGACCTAGGGTCTTTTGGTAGGCGCACGGTGGCCACCTTGATCGAGCAGGCTACTTACCGCCAGCTATTGCGTCATGTATCCATCCCGAACGCAGCTGGCCAGTTATGCCCGCCTCTCATCTCTGTGGTCCGAGAGGAGCTGCAGGCCTTTCGAAATAAAGCTAATGTTGACGCCACCATTTTCCTGAGTGGAGTTGTTGCAGGAGGATGCCCGTGCCAGCTGCATTTGTTGACTGACCGCCGTGTGCTGAACCCCCACTGTCTCCGCTGAGGCCAGGCCCATGGGACCCCCAAGCACAGGCTCTACGAGTGCCCAGGCTTCCACCTCTTCCGTCGAGATCTTGACTTGGCTGATGTCGTTCGAGGAGGAGTAGGTAGACCTGGGCAGGATCTGTTGTACACTAGGGCCCTTGGCCCCGACCCTGGGGCTGAATGGCCCCCCCCTGTCCATGGCCGGTTCCAGGCTTTGGCACCTTCGGCCCCCCTCGGGCCTTCTGGGCCCTCGGCTTTGTATTGACGGGTCGGGTTTGGACCAAGGGAACCCGTTTACGGCCAGAGCTGGTTGGGCTGTAGTTCGCATGCAAGAAGTATGAGGTTCTGACGGCAGTGTCTTTGGGCCCCTTCCCCACCTCCTTCAACGGAGCGGTGGGGGGGGGGGAGATTTATGCCCTCATCATGGCCATCCGACTTGCTGCCCCTGGCCTCCTTACCATATACTAGGACTATCAAGCTGTCATTGATATTTGGGCAGCTGGCCCCAACGCGGGCCGCTCCCAAGTTGCTTTCGCTGAGTTGTGGGATGAGTTTTTGTTTTGTTTTGTTCTTTCCCCCTGGCCTCCGACTTCGGGCCCGAGAATATCGAGCTTCGTAAAATCAAGGCCCACCTTTCCTGGCAGGCGTGCTCCCGAACCTCCAATGTGCCGTTCTGGGCATGGGCTGGCCACACACTCGCTGACAAGCTTGCGGAGCAAGGTGCCGAGGCGCATGTTTCGAATCCTGAGCTTGTGCGCAGGCGCAAAGATAGCCGCGATTCGGTCCGTTCCGTTTGCAAGCTAATTGGCGCCTTCGGTAATCATTTGTCCCATTTCAAGTTTCCAGACGTCCAGCGGGTAAAGAAGCCCCGCCGCCCGACGTTCAATGCCCTCCAGCTCGTCCCAGACCGCCAAGGCCACGTTCTGCAGCGAGTGGGCAAGTCTTCTAGAGCTTTTATCTGCACCCGCTGCGGAGGTCGTGGTCTGTCTGAGCGTGCTGTGTGTGCTATGCCATGCACGGGCCTCCCACGACTGGCCCGCCTGGCCGACAAGTCTCATCGGCTCTGGCTCATGGGCTCCTCCCTAGTGTGGTGCTCTATGTGTGCAGCCTTCGGGAGTTCCAGGCTCCGCTTGCGCGGAGGTCCCTGCCGAGGGAACCCCCGCAACAAGGACGGAGAGAAGACCCTGAGGCTGCTCAAGTAGGGGAAGGATCCTTCCACCAACCGCGTGGTGGGCAGGAGCTTCCGCCTCACCATCTCCTAATTCACCCCTCCTTTTTAACCCTGGGCGTCGTGTTTCATCTGGAGGCAGACGTTCCGCAGCTTGAAGGAGCTTGAAGACGAGGAGGAGGAGGAAGTGGAGGAGGGGGAGGAGGGGGAGGAGGTGGATGATGATGTTGATGATGATGATGATGATGATGATGATGATGATGATGATGATGATGATGATGATGATGATGATGATGATGATGATGATGATGATGGATGATGATTATGATGATGATGATGAATGATGATGATGATGATGATGATGATGATGATGGATGATGATGAATGATGGTGATGAGGAGGAGGGAGGAGGGAGGCGGAGCGGGAGGAGTAGGGAGGAGGAGGCGAGGAGGGAAGGAGGAGGGGAGGAGGAGGAGGGGGGGAGAGGAGAGAGGACGAGGAGGAGGAGGTGAGAGGGGGAGAGACGAGGAGGGGGGAGGAGGAAGAGGAGGAGGAGAGGAGAAGACGAGGAGGTAGATAGGAGAGAGGAGGAGGAGGAGGGTGGAGGAGGAGGAGGAGGCCCCCGACGGAGCTTGGCCTGCGACCACGCACAGGCCGGCTGCCGACGGTCCCTGGCGCTGCCTCCTCGTACAGGGGGCTGGGCCTAGTGGGAAAGGTAACAGGCCCAGCCCTCCTCCCCTCCTCCTCCTCCTCCTCCTCCTCCTCCTCCTCCTTCTCCTCCTCCTCCTCCTCCTCCTCCTCCTCCTCCTCCTCCTCCTCCTCCTCCACCTCCCCCTCTCTCTCTCCCCCTCCCTGCCCCCCCTCCCCCCCCGCCTCCATTCGCGGACATGCTTTCTTTCCGCTTCCGCTGTCCGCGCCCCTCCTTCTGTTCTCACTCCTACTCTTTCTTTCACCGCTTCCTTTTCCTCCTTCTCATCCTCCTCCTCCTGCTGCTGCTGCTCCTCCTCCTCCTCCTCCTCCTCCTCCTCCCCCTTTTCTCTTTCTTCTCCTCCACGCCCTCCTCCATTTCCATCCTTTCCCTTTTCTGTTCGTCATCCTCGACGTCCTTTTCTCTCCTCATCCACACCCTCCATTCCCTCCTCCTTCTCCTCCTCCTCTCCTCCTCGTCCTCCTCCTCGTCCTCCTCCTCGTCCTCCTCCTCGTCCTCCTCCTCGTCCTCCTCTTCTTCTTCTTCTTCTTCCCTTGCAGCCTTTGGGTGGCGGAAGCGACGCATCAGGAGGAGGAGGAGAAGGAGGAGGAGAAATAGGAGAAGGAGGGTCAGGAAAGAAGCGATAAGGATAGGAAACAACTAGGAGGCTGAAAGGGAGGAAGAGTCGGTGACGATGATGCTGATGAGGGTGATGATGGAAATGATGATGAAGATGAGACGGAGGAGGAGGAGGAGGAGGAGGAGGAGGAGGAGGAGGAGGAGGAGAAGGAGGAGGAGGACGAAGTGGAGGAGGAGGAGGAGGTTGTGGAGGAGTAGGAGGAGGAAGAGGAGGAGGAGGTGGAGAAGGAAGGTAGACATAAACAAGTGGGCAGTGGGAGGGGCAGAAGTTGTTCGTCAAACAGGGTGCCAGCTCGTTCGAGACAGCCCCCCCCCCTGCGCCAGAGTGTTTTTGTAATCGACGAATTCCCGCCTCCCCGAGGTTTCTTCGTAGCGCTCCTCTTCACGACCGCCACCCTGCCTGTCACGAACCTCAAGTTCTGGATGCCCCCGGCTCTATGGCCTGGCGGGCGTCGCGGCCGTCGAGATCCGGCACCCTCCCCCTTCTGCTCTGCTCTCCTCCTCCTTCCCTCTTGTCCCCCTTTCCTCCTCTCCTCGCTTCTTCTCTCCTCCCTTCTCCTCCATTCTCATACCCTCTCCTTCGTTCTCCTCCCTGCTCCCTCCTGCCTGAGACCCTTGTCCCTCCTCGCTTCATCCTCCTGCCTCCACTCTCCCTCCTCGCTCCATCCCCTCTCGTTCCACCTTGCTTGTCTCGTCTTTCTGCATTTTCCCTCCCCCTACCTCCTCCTCCTCCTCCTCCTCCTCCTCCTCCTCCTCCTCCTCCTCCTCCTCCTCCTCCTCCTCCTCCTCCCCTCCTCTCCCCGAGCTGCCTCCTGCTCTGCATCCCTTCCCCTCCGATCTGGGAGATTCCGAGGTCAGGCCTGATCCGCTGCCTGATCTGACAGAGGAGGAGGAGGAGGAGGAGGCGTCAGGGCCTGGCGGTGTCGAGCCCGATCCGCTGGCCGGCCTGGGCGGGCTTTTTGGAGCCGAGAGCTGGCCCAGTGAGTCGGGCAGCGTGTCGTGCGCAGCTGCCTGCCTGGCGCAGTCGAGCCCAATCCCGCCCACGACCAGCCAGGTCCCATCCTTCACCACCCTCGCAGGCGATGCTCCCAACCCAACCCCAGACTTTTCGACGAACAATGACGCGGCTAAGAAAAGGAGGGGAACCCTGGGATACACCCCGAGGGGGCTATTCGGACGCACCCCTATCGAGG